TCGCCAAAGTGAGTGGGTGTTTGCACATAGGGGGGCGGGGGGGGGGATGTCTGCAACTCATATACAGTGAAACACGAAATAAGACGACAAAGAGCTATCAGGATTGTTTCTCCCCGGTTGTTTCTATAGGTAGATTACAGCGAGGGGAGTAAATAGACTCGGAGAGTTCACTTTAAAAGCTTGTTCAATGAATGGGATTGATCACAAGCTTCTTAAACTTTGACGTCAAGCACTTCCAGCTAAACTCAAGGGGAAACGGCTGCCTTTTGCCCTCATCAAACTATGAAATGGGTCACAACGTGGCCAGTGGGAAGAAATGTTTGCAGGGCTACAGCTCCTGGGGGTAACTAGATTTGGTGTGTAACATCCAGGCTTGGCAGCGTTGTGACAGTGTAGCAGAAAGGTGGATTCCTGTATGTAAGTGTATGTAGGTGTTTGAAAAGCTCCAGTCACTGCAAGCATGGGGGACACTTGTATTTCAGGGAAACTTTCAAACCCGGCTGAATAATGGCAACCCGAGCCGTGAACAGAGCCGGCGTGAGTGTGAATCCACGTCTCTAACTCTCCACTCCTTCGACTTGTGAAACGCAACAGCAAGGTTATTTTGAAAGGCCAGGGCAGGAGGTGATTTGTAGAAATATTTTCATCCCAGACAGTTTAAGTACCTGTCAGGAATAACTGCCCCAGATCAAAATATTAGGAGCCTTAAACGGCGCTTTATGTTCCCAGACAGTGTTTAGCTTTCGGAGGGAGCTGCCTCAATGCTGTGGATTATTTCAGATCCTTGCAAAATTCTTCTTAAAACAAGAAGCGGAGCGGGGGTGTTTTGCTGGCCCAGGAGAGGAGACGCGGGCCCGGCTGGCGGGTCAGGGGGTGCTCGCCCCCCGCCAGCACTGTCTAATTCCCCTATTGTAGGCCCAGGCCGCCGCGGGGCGCGGGGCACGCTCGGGAGAGGCGGCCGGGCCCTGCCGGGGCAGGGGGCAGCACTGGCCTGAGCCTGGGGGGCTCCTCCAGGGCTGGCAGGGCGCGGGCACGACCCGATTTCCATCTCAGCTCGGGAAAGGGAGGCAGAGGCAGGCTGGCAGCCTGGCCCCCGAGCTTCCCTACTGATTCCAGCCTTGCAGCCTGCCTCTCCCCACAGCGCTTCCAGGCACTGATTTTCTTCCCCACTGAGCTCTGTGCAAATGACTCCGGCCTCAACCCCCTCCCCCCCAGCCCGCTGCTTTCCAATTTGCACCTGTTTTTTTGGGTTGTTTCTTTCTTTCTTTCTTTTTAAGCCTATCTCCTAGGCTGCCCGACTCGCTTATTTCCTTGCAGTAAGGGGCGTTGAACTTGAGGGATCCGCAGCGGACAGCGGGGCTATTGGGAGTAATGTGCGGAGGCTTGAGTTTCTCGCCCGGGTTAACAGCAAAGCCACGGGGGGAAGGAGCTCGCGTGTGCCGAGAGAGATCTCGGCGTGGTGCGTGTGCGCCAGAAACGAGCAGCACAGGCAGCGCTGCCTCTTTCATACACGGGGTCCCAGCTAGGTGCAGGGCAGGCTGAAAACGAAGCTGGAGGAAGTGCAGCTTCACGCCTCAGCGAAGGTTACGGATTCCCCTCCCTTGTGGGGTGAAACAGAGGTAGAGCCCAAAGCAATTATTTAACGTGGGCCAAGGGGAAACCCCACTGTCCCTGCGGGGAAGCTGGTCCTGGGAGGGTCCTGAGCTCCCTGATCAGTCCTCTGCTTCTCCCTGTACCCGCGGGTGCCTTTCCCCGGCTGCCCCGCGGGGCGGCAGCTCCAGGCCAGCTCTCCCCTGGCTGGGGCGCTCAGCTCGGCGTCTCCTGCTTTCTTTTCAGAAAGTGCCGCGGGGACAGAGCCAAGCTGACGGCGCGGACAGGTCCGAGGAGAGATCACAGCCCCGACTGGCCCGCTCCCCTGTCTAGAGCCCGTCAGGGGTGCACAAGGAGGCTCCGGCCCCTTTCACAGACCTGCCTCCAAGTTCGCATCGTGAATCGGTGGCTGGAACTGGCAGGGAGGTGGAGGGGAGCGAAGGGCAGGACCCGTGTGCACATGGGTATGTACGCACAAGTATAACGTGTGTACACGTGCACAAATGTGTGTGAGTGCATGGGCAAGGCTTGCCTACGCCCCCCACTGCCCAATGTAGATTTGGTTTGCAGCTCCCGTGCCACAGCCTCCCTCCCAGAGTTGGGCTCGGTTGCAAACTAAATCCTCCCCTGCCTGGCACAAGGGCAGCTTGCAGGGGAACAAACGTAGGGGAGGATCCGGCTCCAGGACAGTGGCTGCACCAGGCTGGGGGAGGCAGAGCCCTGCTTCCAGGTGAGGCGGCGGGGTGCGGGGGAGCTGCGGGCAGCGAGTCCCGCCGCCTGCCGAGTCCCGTGGCAATGCGGATCTCCCAATAACCTGATAACTTTTATTGCTTCCTGCGGAAACAGCCAGACCTGACAGGTCTAAGGGAGAAATCCCCCAGGGCTGCCTTCTGGATCAAGATTACCGCGTGAGATCGCCCTGGCTTTATTGTCCTTTCCATTCACTTGCGGGGGAGCGGGGGTGGTGA